TATCCACAAAATGTGTCGGTATAATAATCCAAATGAGCGTAGAAGTATCCATTCAGCTAAGTTTTTCTGTGTTAGAAGAGCTATTCAGCAAAGTTTTCTCCTCAAAAACTAAAATATATCTATACAAAAAACCGAATTTAGTGATTAATTTTAAAATATTGACATAAAATAATATTAAAATATTAATACAGCTGGAGTTTTTTATGAAAAAAGGCAATTCAGCAAAGTTTTTTATTAAAAAAATTAACAAATTTGCCTACAAAAAATATATATCTGTGTATAGTAAAGAAAATGAGCATGGAAATAGTAATTCAGCTAAGTTTTTCTGTGTTAGAATTGCTATTCAGCAAAGTTTTCTATTAAAAAAATAAAAAAAATTCTTTATCAAAATTATTAAGCAAAGATTTTCGACACAGAAAAAGGATATTCAGCACATTATTATTTTTATTTCATATAACACCCTCTGCTAATATATTCTGATAAGAATCTTAGGGAAGACTACCCACAAAGCCGATAAAATATTGTCCTTGATTGACAGGACGTGGTAAAATTGTTTCCTTTTCCATCAGCTGATCTCCTCGAAGATTTTCTCTTACATTCCCATTATGCATTTGCATTCCACTGTATATCCTGTATCCAGTTTATTCCCCAAGACACTCATACAAACTAACAACACAACAGAGTCTTAAACATCCTCAAAGGATGTAGGTGAAGTGAATGCAACAAAAACAGGAATGAAACTGAAAAAAACATCATAGGAAATCCGTTAATTCAAAAATCATAAAGCTTATAAAGTTGATCAAATGAAAATATAAAAAAGAAGATGATGAAGAAGAAAAGAAATAAAATAAAAATTATATAGGACAGTCTTTATAACCTCCATTACCCCTCAACTATACAGTTCGAGGAAATTTTCCGATTTGTTTTTTTTTTTCCCAGAAACAGAAACAAGAGAAGCTCCACTTTGTTAAATAAACATAAGAATTTCTCTTTTCAGTTGCTTTTCTTTTCATTTCTTTGGAAATAGTTTTTCATTTTGTCAGTGTCTTAAGTTGTCACAGAGAAATTCTGAATGGCTGGCTGGCTGGCCGAATGAATGACTGACTTGCCTAGCTGCCGAGCTGGCTGAAAGGCTGGCAATGCATTTATGATGGCATATAAAAAATTAAACTTCCTAGTTGCACTTTTTTTTTTTTTCATTTTTGTTGTTATTGCGACTTATACATCACCATCGCCTTTTCTTCTCCTTGGTATTTTTTCACTACTACTGCTGGCTATGAAAGAAAACCCATTCGTTTTCATTCTGTGTGTAGGGGTGTGTGTGCGATTTTTTTAATATTTACATTTATTGCATATTTCGTGTTACTACTGGTCGTTGGCACAATTTTTTCCTCCAAGAGTTGTTGTAGAATTTTTTAAATCCTTTCCCTCTCCCCGTTTTTTTTTCTAGGACTTTTGCTTTTTTCTCAGGTTTATTTTTTTTTCTTCACACATACACACACCCTTACACACATGTAAGTAAAAGGTCCAGATTAAGAATAAGGCCCAGCGGGCTGTTTCTACAGCTGCCTGATTTCGTAAGGCATTCGTGTAAATTTTGCAATAAAGGGTTTACTGGGTGTGCCTGGCTGTGTGTGTGTGTGTGGGTCCAGGACTTTATGGAGCATTCATTTTCATTGAGGAATTTAACACACCATACCGGCATTATTTTTGTGGCATATTTTGTTTCCATGTTTGTTGTTTTGTTTCCTTTTCTTTTTCTGTCATTCAAATTCCACCTTTATAGCCGAACAGCCATCCATCCACCCATCCATTGCTCTGTTTATATGCCCGAATTCGAACAAGTGAATAGAGGCGACTATCCACGCCTTGTATTCGCTTAAGATTTGCCAAGCGTCAACATGAAAATTGAAAGCTAAAAGCAACAACAACAAGGGATGTGGCCCACAAAAGAATGAAAAAAGGTAAGGTACAGCGGCAGAGAATACAAATCCACAGGGTCCTGTTACATTGCTGTTATTCTGGATGGACGGGGATAGACGTATAGGTTTTTGGAGAAAGGATAGGATATAGATTTTGTTCTTGCAGCATTCTATTATGTGCGATATTTCGTTGTTTACTAGCAGACATATTTCGGTTGGTCGATGGCTCTGTTGGTTGGATGAGGATGGGAAAAATATGTTGACTTGCATATGCCTTGCTCCGCTAGACTCATAAATCCTTACATTGTTTTTTTTTTTTGTAGAGTGAATGTGTTAGCGGTACACATACATACCACGATGGGAATGTACGAATGTAAAAGGATGGTGTAAGGCATCCTTAAGGACAGTAGGGAGAAAAAGTGCAGATACAGAAGTAAATAGCTGACAAGCTGGAGGGTCTTCATAGACTATCAAAAGGGAGTCTAAATCGATGAGCGATAGGGAGGGAAGGGGAGTCTAAATCGATGAGCGATAGGGAGAATTAATTAACAGGGGTATATAATGGCCGTTTTGAATCTTAAACAAAAATTGGGCTAATTTAAAAAAGGAAAATTTAATAAAGTGGCGCCCAACGTGAAATTTTTCTTAGGGAAGTCTTGAAAGTTAACGGCAGCTTTATAGAGGAGATGAACATTCAGAGGTTTCGATGAACGACAAATAAATTTTTATATAGATCTGCTGACGTTTCAGAAGCTTTTTATAAAAATTGGACTGAAATGGCGCCCCACGACTGAATTGCGTCCACGATAGAGAGGTCTACGATCCGAAAAGTGGCGCCCAACGTAAAATTTTTCCTACGGAAGGGCTGAATGTTAACGAGAGGCTTTATAGAGTAGATGTAAATTCAGAGGTTTCGATGAACGTCAAATTAATTTTTATAGCTCGGTTGAAGTTTCAGAAGCCTTTTATATAAATTGAACTGAAATGGCGCCCAACGTGTAGTTGTCATTATAGACGAGCTGAAGGTTCTGGGAGTCTTTATGGAGGAGGGAATTTATCTTGATCCGCTAAAGGTTCATAGAAGAGGGTCTCAATTGAAGTTCCAGAAGACCTTTATACAAATTGAACTGAAATGGCGCCCAACGTGTAGTTGTAATTATATAGAGGAATTAAAATGCAAGAAGCCTATATATAAGTGCTGAAGTTCCGCATGACATGATGGAGCCTCGTATAGACTTCCTGAACCTTCAATGAGCCTCTATAGGCGAGGCGAAGATTGAAGAGCTTTGTCAGAGAGTTTCAGGAAATATTTCATGGATGAGCTGAGGATTCATGGATTCTTTTAGGACGAGCGGAAGGTTCATTGAGTTTTCATACACAGTAGGCAGTATGTCCAGAAGAGCTTAAGGTTCAGGGAATTTTTGTAGGCAGTCTGAATGCTTAGAGATTCATTAGTAGGTTTTTTGAAGGTTCGGGGAATATCTATAGATGACCTGAGGCGTATGGGGCACTTTATTGGCTAACAGAAGGTTCAGGGTCTTTAAAACGTGATCTGAGGCAATCAGGAGACCTTTGGAGAAATCAAGAGTTCAGGAAATATTTCGCAAACAATCTGAAGGTTCCACAGAACCTGCCAAAAATACAACGAATTTTTAAACGTGAAGTGAATAGAGAGTTGAAGGTTCACAGGCACTCTGTTCACAAACTGAGGCTTCAGGGAGTTCTTTTTGACTAGACGAAGCTTATGAAACTCTTAAATAGATCCGCTGGATATTTGAGAAGTATTTATAGGCCAGTTAAAGTTTCAGGTTGTCATTCAGAGACTTGCTGAAGTTTGAAGGAGTTTCAAGGGGAGAGTTAAACGTAAAGAGAGTGCTGCTTAGAATAACTGGATAACAGGAAACCTTCTTACACTAGTCGAACATTCGCAGGTACTCTGTAGACAAGCTGAGGCACCGGGCTGTTGTTTTTGGGAGCTAAAGGTAAAGGAACTCTTTAATAGATTTGCTGGATATTTAAGGAGATTTATAGGTCATTTGAAGTTTTAAGTTGTCATTCAGAGCCTTGCTGAAGTTTAAGCAGTCTTTAGGGAGAGCTAAAGATCCGAAGAGTCTTTCACCGGAGAACTGGATGGCAGGGAACCTTCTGACACTAGCTTATGGTTCACGGAGTATTTATAGGCAACCTGAGGCTTCAATGAGCCTTTATTGGCAAGCTGAAATTCCGGGGGTCTTTGAAATGCCATCTGAAGGTTCCGGGTATCTTTAGTTCTTTCTTAAACTCCCAGAACCTTCTGATCGTTTACGAAAGATGAGAAGGTTTATTAAGCGTGAACTGAAATTAAGTTTCAGGGAGTCATCTTTAGAAGAGCAGAATACTGTAGATGAGTTGAAGGTTGGCAAAGTCTCTGCTGACAAGTTGAAAAGGCAGGTGGCGTCTGAAGAGTATGGGTGCTTATATATGATCAATTGCTTATGTAGGTGGACGAGCTGAATTGAGCCTCTATTTAAAAGCGGAGGTCTTATATTTAATAATCTCTTTCTTATGTTTCATACTTTTGTACTTGACTGTAATTTGAAACGTTTGACTATTTTTATAATCAACATAATAAGCCAAAACATCCTTATTAGTAGTAGTAGTTGTAAACTTTAGAATTTATTAGAAGATAAACTTCCACTAAAAATATAGGAAGAAGAAAATCACACACATATACACATACTCTCACAAACATACAGAGGAACCTTAGAATTTTTACGGAAATAATAAACATTGGCTGTTTATCTACTCGTATCGTGTATGTAAATAAAAGTGAGTGTAAAGCATTAACGAGATACACACATCCTGCTGCTGCTGCCGCTGATGCTACTGATACTTATGGAAGACATCCTTGTCACTTTTTATTTTAAATATTACATTAGTTATGGTCTAGAGTTTTCAGATTATAAAGGAGGCGAGAGGGAGAAAAGGGGACAGGAGATTTCCTATAATGGTTTCCATGCCAATCTCCTTTCGTTTTTTGGGTGGAATTTAATTTTTAATTTACTACAACTCTAAACATGTATGTGCTGCTTAACTTACCTGTCGTTTCAAACTTAATACAAGTCCTTCGACTTGTTTGCCGGAACTGAATGCTTGCAGCAAACCGTTATGGAAATCATCATTACCATAGAGACCTGTAATGAAAGGAGAGAGAGACAGAGAGGAAGCTTGAATTAAAAAAATGAATTAATAAAAAATACTGAATGCTATGGGACAGAGGTTTGGGGGTATGATAGAGGTATATACAGCCACCCATTAAGCCATAACGTTTTTTTGCTGCATTTCATAACTACAAAGTGATGCTGATGCTGCTGCTTCTTGTTATAATACCGCCATGCCAATATCAATTGACCCGATTATTAATTGAATTCGTTTGGGGAATGGGGGCGGGGGTGTGGGGAAAAGTCAATGATCTTAAAAAACGTTCTGCTGCAAATGCAATCAATATTTAAATTGGAAATTATGCTCAGAAATTCAGCTGATGCAGCCACTTGGACCATGGGTGCCACTGTCACAGGCCACACGGAGATTGCCACTTTAATGGATATCTCTGTCGGTTTTGTTGTTGTTGCTTTTATTTGGTTAGCTTATGGCTGACCATATAAGCGAAAAATTCGTGGGTGTTCATTTGGCGGCAGAAAAAAAGAAACAACTACAAAATGGAAAAGCATAATCAAAACCAATGCGGAATTTAAAAAGGGAGCTCCAAAAAGGCAGAACGAAAAGTGTCTGGCATTACGAAATAAAAACCGCTGGTTTGGATGGCCAAGAGTAAACGATAATATTGTTGTTTCATTCGAAAAATATGTTCGGAAGCCTAGGTAGAATTTTGATTTATGCATTTTGTTAGATAATAGCCAAACCACAAGGCAAATGGAGCCTGAGGACTTTTTGGCAAATAGTTTGTGGAGTTTTTGGCTAAGATTAGTGGATTAAACAGCGGAAAGGAGAGGTTTACGAAGGAACTGAAGAGCTAGTGAAGATTTGTGGATTAGCTAAGTTAGATTAGCTGTCATAGGGTCTTTATGGAAGAGTGAAATTTCCAATAAAAATTGGACTGAAAATCTAAATAAATAAAATTGGCGCCCAACGTTTGATTGTTCTCAGCTAAGATTGGTGGGCCTTTCTTATTCTTAACCAATTTTAAGGGGGTCTTTCCAGAAGTAAGGGGAAGTAAGGAAGCTTTGGGGAATGACTATACAAGAGCTGAAGGTTCAGAAAGAGATTGAAAGACAAGGAAAAGCTTCAGGTAGGCTTTATAGGAAGAGACGATGGATTAGTGGAAGAGACGATGGATTAGTGATTGAGTGACCAAAAAGGGAAGCTGAATAAGACAGGCTTTCCAAAAGTGCGGGGAGTCTTTATAGATACACCAAAGGTCCATGAAATTATTCATTAAAATGCTGAAGGTTCAGGTAGTCTTTGTATATGAGCGGCAGGATCAGGAAAATTCGAGGGAATAATGTTTGAACGACCAACGAAGAATCTGGTTAAGATAGGCTCTCCTGAAGTGATAAACCAACGATTCAGGAAGTGATTCATAGACAAACCGAACCTTTGGTTTGGTGGTTAATGGATAATTTAATAGACTTTCTGAAGGAGCCCTTAAAGACGAACTTAATGCTCATTGAGTCTATATAGAAGAGTTTCAGGAAATCTTTATAGATAAGCTGAATGTTCAGGCATTATTTATATACGAGTTAGAGGTTCAGATACACAGATGTGCTGAAGGTCCTGGTAGTCTATAGGCGAGCTGAATGCTCAAGAAGTCTCCATAGACGAACTAAGTCTGCATGTATTTTTATATGAGCTGAAGACTAACGGAGTTATTCTTGGACCCGCTAAAGATTCTGGGAATCTCAATGGATGAACTGAATGTCCAGGGTGTCAACATCGATGAGTTGAAGGCTCATGACGGTGCTATAGACACATACACACTGGACTTAACATTCAGATAATAAATGGCTCCCATTTGTGAGTCATTAGATACGTGCTAAAAGTTTAGGAAGTTTTTATAAATGATTTTAAGGTTCAAGAAGTCTCTACACACAAGCAAAATGTAGAGACCGTCCCTTTAGCTTCAGTGAAGCTGAAACAGTTTCCCCAAACTGCAATATCTCTATGAGCTTGGAGTACAGGGAGTCTCTATAGCCGAACTGAAGATTGAAGGAGGTTAAAGGTCCTTAAAAACGAACATGGACGAACTGAAGGTTCAAAGAGTCCCTATAGACTAGATGAAAGGAGTCTCTCTATATTCGAAATGAAGATATATTTTACAGACAGACTTATGGAGGATTTTTTTGGAGATGGATTCTCAATAAAAATGGCTTGAAACATAAAAATGTGAAAATGGCGCCCAACGTTAAATTCAAAATATATCGTCACAATATATCTCAAAGTAAAACAAGATTCCTATAAAGGATCTGAAGGACAAGGCAGTCTTTATAGATGAACTTCAGCCTCTAGAAGTCATCATATACGAACTGAAGGTTAAAGGAGTTCGATAGAATAACTGAATGAAGTTTCAGTAGAGGAAATGAAGGGATCCTTTAAAGACAGGAGTTATTTTTACAAAAAAGTGAAAATGGCGCCCAACGTTAAATTCAATACAAATCGTCACAATTGCTTTAAGAATAAGACATGATTCAAACAGATGATATGAAAGTTAGGGTAGTCCTTATAAACGAACTATTGTTTCTAGAAATCATTATAGACGAGCTGAAGGTTTAAAGAGTCTCTATAGACCAACAGAAGGGAGCCTCAGTATTCGAAATGCACGGATCCTAAGAAGATAGGAAGTATTTTTGGTAGATAAGATGTATCTGAATTACAGAAAATTTTCAGAAAACAAAAAAGTGAAAATGGCGCCCAATGTTAAATTCGAAATAAATCGTCACAATCGTTATGATAGTTCTTATAAGGGAATTAAAGTTTCTAGAAGTCATCATAGACGAGTTGGAGGTTTAAGGAGTCCGTATGGTTTAGCTGAAGGGAGTCGAAATTGGGGGATCCTTTTTAGACAATATAATAGAGGTATTTTTTAGACATATTGCAAAAATTGTTCTAAAAACAAAAAAAGTGGAAATGGCGCCCAACGTAATGTCCAAAATAAATAGCCACAATTGAACTAAAACTAAGAGTTAAACAGATTCTGTCCGAAGGAAATCTTTATAGACTGCCAAAAAATGACTTTCGATAAGTTCTCAAAAAAGAAGTTTTTGTACAAACATGGAAATGGCGCCCAACGTCAAGTTCAAAATAAATCGTCACAGTTGGTTCGAAACGATATGGACTGTTAAAGAATGACTTCCTATAAGGGCTTTAAAAGGGAGCTTTTATAGTTGAGTAGGGAATCCTCTATTGAAGAGCTCTCCTAAAGAGCACGACATTCATTTCTCATTTTCAGATCAGCCTAATTTTTACATATTATCTCTCGAAATTGTTCTTAATTTAAATACAGAAAAATAGTAGTGGTCTCAGTGGATTCTACAGAGGGAGGTGAACACGTAGCAATTCAACTGCCGCATGGATAAACTAACTTAGTCACCATAAATGAGGTTATGTGTAATTAATTCCTTCATTTTATATTTTTGGCGTTCTCATTTCCTATTTTACTGGCAGCATTATTACTTCGTGCAAAAAAATTAATACAAATTGAAATGAAGCGGAACAACGAAAAAGAATAAAACTAAAAAAAACACAAAACTTGAAATTGAATTATTTTGGCCAAACTTAAGGAAGGCTGGCTGGCTGGCTGGCAGGCAAATCACAATATTACAAACACAAAACTATGCAGTAGACAGTCGGACTAGCTGGTTGGTAGACTGTTAAACTGGCAAGAAGGTCCTTTTGAAAATTTTATTATTTTCATTTTCGGATATGTGTGTGTGTGAGTGTTTGCTTTACAATAGTTTCAGATTTATGTGTGGGGTGAAGGAGAAACAATGACAATTCTTTTTTTCCGGTTTCGGGTGACCAGATTTGCCTAACTAAACTGTTGGCATTTGCTGTAGTTTTTCGTCGACTACTTGGCCAACAACCAGCAAGGCCCTTAATCCTCAGAAAGAAAAATAATTGTATTTTATAAAATAATAAAATTACCCTCAAAAAATACAGAAGAAGGCAAGACAAAGGATAACCAAAAATAACTCAAAGATAACAGAAGAACAACGAAAGACAATAGATATCTTTATATGCCGCAGGTTATAATAAGTCTTGCGACAAACAGGAAGGATAACATTGACAGCAAAAAACGTAAAATAAAGAACGAAAAATAGGAACGTATTTTCATTGTTCAATGCATGTCATCGACTTTTATGAACTCTTGAACTTTGGACGACACTCTCGCACACACACACACATGTATTGTGTCTGTGTGTGTGTTTGTTGAGTAAATACGGACAATTTATCTAATTAGTGTTGTAAAACTAACGTCTCTTTATATAGACGACAAGGAAGAAAAAAATGGGGAAGTAGAGGAATTACAAAAAAAAAGAATAGCCAAGGATGAGGATTGGTAAAAAAAAATTAGTTATCAAGCTACAATGCCAGATAAAAAAATAAACTATTTCCTTTATCCTTGTTTATAGTTGTCAGGAAAAAATACATTTTGTTTTTGTTCTTACCTAAACCTATTGAAGCGCATGTCATTAATGTAATTATTACCAGCGTACAACTTTGACAGCGTTGGGCACTGGGTTTGCGTGGCTTGCGATCACAGCAGCGTGTCAGCAGATATAATAGTAGACCAAATAGTGATAATATCAGCAGACCGGCGGGTATTGATGCTAATATGCCCAGGCTCTGGAAAGAAAAAGAAGGAATGGGGAAAATTTAGATTAATTTGAAATAATGAAAATGGAGGATCTAAAAATAATATCTGAAAGAAATACATAATAAAGGGAAGCTCTGATAAAAATTGGATTGAAAATATTATATGGGAAAGGAGAATATTTGAAGAGCCCAAAATTTGGAGAAATCATTATTAATCAGAAGCAATGAACATATCTAGGCTTGTATTTAGACTCCTTGAACTGTCAGAATGCCTCCTTCAAACTTCAGTTTATCTATTATAAGTTCTATGGATCTTCAGTTTGCCTCTAGAAACACCAGAATTTGTAGCTGACAGCCTCTGTCGGGTCAGTACTTTGAGTTTGGCTCTAGACCCTCCCTGAACCTTCAGCATATTAATAAAGGGCTTAATGAATTTTCGATTAGTCTCTGAGGATATCTTGGCGCTACCTGAACCTTCAGAGGTTTTTTGAACCATTATATTAACTATCAGAGGCTCCCTCAACCTTCGGCTTAGTTATCGAGTGCTCTCAGAAACTTATATTTATAGACAAGGGAAATTGGTTGAACCTTTATATCGTTCCCGTTACGATCTGATTAAGGAAATTCTAATGGAAAATCTATTTACGGATCCTTCAACCTTCTTCAACTTGCTTTTAGACTTTTTAAACATCAAAGCTATCCTAAACCTTAAGCAAATCTATGAAAGACTTCCGATTATTCAGAATGTCTACATAGCCTCCCTGAACATTCAGTTAGTCTATATAGTCTCCCTGAATATTTAGTTCATCTGTAAAGAGTTTCTGAACCTTCATCTTATTTAAAAAGGGTTCCCTAAACCTCCATCACATCCATCAGAGGCTCTCTCCTTGGACTCCTTGGACCATTAGAATATCTACTAAATGTCTACTAAATGCTCCCTGCATCTTTAGCTCGCCTTTAGGGATTCCTCGAACCTTCAATTTATTTATCAGTTTCCCTCATGAAACACCTGCATCTTTGAGTTTACCTCTAGACACTCCCTTAACCCTCAGCATATTTATTAAGTGCTCAGTGATGGCTTTCGGTTCGTTTTTGAGGACCACTTTTCAATCAGAGACTGCCTGAACCTTCAGATTGCTTTTAGTGACTTCTTGAGCCTTCATAGTATCTATCAGAGGCTCCTTAAAGATTCAACTTATTTATCAAGACTCCTTGGACCTTTAGCTCGCCTATTAAGACTCCCTGAACTGTCAGAATTTCCTGAACTGTCTCTGAATCTGCAGCTCATCTATGAAAATCTCCATTAATTCATGTTCGTCTATATAGAACACCCCGAACCTTTACTTCATCTTTGAAGTAGAAACAAAACGTCCTGAACTATCAGTTCGCCAGTGCAAGGCTTACTTACGTATCGTCTCTGAAAGTCTCCCTGAACCTTCAGCTCATTTATAAAGAACTCGCGAAACCTTTACATTGCTATTGAAGAATCCCTGAACTTTGCGTTTCCTATGAAAGATTTCCTAGCAACAAACTCCCCATTAGAGCCTCCCTGAAACATTAGCTGGACTTCTTTAACCTTCTACTTACATTTAGAGACTTCCAGAGATTCTAATTCGTCAATAGAGAATCTGCCTGACTTTTCTGCTCCTTCTGAATGTCTAACTCTTATACGAACGACGCTCTGAGACGTATCTTTTGAGACTTCCAGAAAATATAACTTCTTAATTTAACCTCACCTATAGAGATTTCCTAGTTAGTTCATTTAGAGATTCTTTGAGACCAAAGCTTTTCTATCAGTTCATTTTTATTGGAGGTCCATTTTATATTGTAGATCCTTAGATCCTAGCATCTCAATGACTTCAATCTCACTTCCCCTATAGGGTTTCCTCTTTATCTTTATTTACATGATGTCCTCATATTGGGCGCCAATTAAGAACTCCCTTTCAATGAGTTAAAATCTCCACAAAATGAAAAGATTATTTTTTTCTTTTCACAAAATCTTTACTTCCGTTTCTTATGGAATATTCGCCTCGTGATTTCCCATAATTTGATCGTTCATTCGCTATTCCATTCCGGTATTCATTATGTAGTCGTGTCTAACACTACGACCCACACATAATTGGCAAAACTGTAAACATTGTGGAGGGACATACATACATGTCCAACTCTAAATGAAAGAATAGCTCAAACAATCACAACGACAACAACAACGAGCGCGATATCATCCTACATGCATATGCGTTGGACATTTAATTTGAAAATTACCCGCATTTAAAGTGATTTTGGAAAAATAGAGGGCGAGTGAGGGGGTCATTATTTAAGTACAATAGCAATTGTCGGACAAACATACTTATGAGTGTGTGCGATAAATATTGAGTTAGGGAACGAGAATGATAAGTATTGTCAAAAATTCAACAAAATGTCCAAGCGGAAATAATGGTGGCGAAGAGTGGGGGGATGGTAGAGGAAATAAATCATAATAAAGGGTTTCGATTTGATGATGATGATTCAGAGGGAAGCACACACACACACTAAATTACTGTTATTAAAAGCTATAGAGTGGGGATTATTCATGTAAATAAAAGTGGCGCCCAATGTGGGGTCCTGCAAATAGTTTCTCTAGATTGCAGTGATTATGAATAAATAATTTTTTTATGATTTTGGAAGCTACATGGGAAAATTCTTTAATAAATATTAAATAATGTTTAAATAGCAAATGAATCTCAAATTGGCGCCCAATGTGGGACCCATGTAATAAATCATAGTTTTTCTAAACTGTATTTTATTGTGAATAAAAAAAGCCCTTTGTAATTTTGGAAGATGTGAAGAAAAGTTTTTCCTAAATTAACTTTATAAAAATAGATCAATTATAATTGGCGCCCAATGTGGGACCCATGTAATATACATACTTTTCTTATTTAGTATTTGTTGATAAATACTCCTATCTATTAACAAAAAGTTTTTAAGGGAATTAAATTATATTTGAAAAAAATATGAAACTAGAACATTAAAAATGGCGCCCAACGTGGGACCCAAAACATAATCTTCCATCTTCATTAATAAAAAGTGTCTGGGGGACTTAAATTATAATATAATATGACACCCTAACTTTAAAAGTGGCGCCCAACTTAATCTAATCTACCTAAAACCTCCCCTTCTTTTCACTATGGCGCCCAATGTGCGCCCCAAATAATAAGTCATATTGAGCCCTTATAACTCTCCCTTTGTATTATTTGGAGTGGCCTTAAATTAAAAAATAAAATAAAAAATTTTCAAATGGCGCCCAATGTGCGGCTGCAGAGCAAAACTAACTCCTTAACAATATCATGTTGATATAGAAAACAAAAAACTAAACAAATAAGTTGAAAGGAACTTTAGTCCAGTATCAACTCTATTACAAATTCCCATGGAGGTGACACAACGACATACACATACATTCATAAATTCATGTATGAGTGTATTATGAATGCTTTGCATGACTCGACTTCGGACGGTCGACAAAGAACCTAATCACGTACTAGGAAATTTATGTGTATATTCTCATCTAGATGGAGTGCAAAAGTTTAAATGTAAATTTCGAAGTTGGTGGTGGTGGTGGTGGGAGGCAGGCAGTCCGATCTGATGTCCATGCATACATAGTTACAGTATCTGCAAACATTATCAAAACGAATGGCAGAAAAAAAAAACGAAGAAACATATGTATGTATGTAACCAAGCCACAATATTCCGATTCAGAATTTAAATTTAACCATTCCCAGAAGAGAGAGGGAGTGAGGGACCGAGGAAAAAATAGTCTGCATTTTTTTGTTGGTTTACTTAACACAGAAATAGAAAAAAAGAAATGGAAAAATAAAAAATCTGGAAGCTGCAGTGTAGGAGTATGGCATAACATTTAGTTCAATTGTGTAAATTCTAAAAAAAAGCCGGGACAGAGGGTTATGTTTGATTTAGTTGCTACCACCCATAAAGATAGTTATGCTGGACACAAAGTTCCTCAACTGGACTCTGTGTGCAAATTTTTTTTCTCCAATTCCCTTGCACTCTTTATGGAATAGCAAAAGAAAAACTTTAACTGATACCTAGATTTATTCAGCCAACGTAGATTAAGTGACCGACCATATTAAGCCCAAACGACTTAGAGTTAGAGAATCAACAAAAGTCAGCGATTTACAGGAGAGCTCGGGAGGGAATTAGGTAGGGAGTTAGGGAAAAGTCATATACATATACCCAAATGGTGTTGAAGTGCTGGCAAAGGAAATGTACGCTTAAAATGTCAAATCATTTACAAAAGGCCGGGTGGCGGGTAGTGGCTGACTGTTGCATACTCCAAGTGACATGCAACGGAAATAGCACAGAATAATGATTCCTATTGCAGCAGTGAGCCCAGCCCAGCCAAGCCATTCAGCGTTGCCTGTAAACGTGACATGGGCATGAACTACAGCGGCAATATGCCAGCCATCCAGCCAGCCAACTATTTTATTGTCATTATGAATGTCTGTAATTTGTCCCTAATGATTTCGTTAAATGAAATTGTTAATGATCTATAATCGTTCGTTATTGTTGTGTTGAAGAACGAACGAGTAAACACGAGCCAAAAAGAGCCCCGTGAGGCTTTGTTATGAGCGGGGGTTTGAAAGTGAGGACCGCCAAAAAAATAATAATCATAATTTCACTTTTTTTGTTCTGTCATTTCCACCCTAAGGTGGTTGGGGAGAACTTATGTATGCTCGTCAGGTTTGATATTTGAAATTATTTGGAAAAAATAATTTGTTTTTCGGAAAACCCTTTTTTGATATGAAGTAAAACCGAAACGAATTTGTGATCTTGCCGAATTCTAAAGAATTTTATTCTTTTAAAATTTTAAATGAAAAAAAAAAAAATTGATCCAAACGGAAACACTTGCACTTTGAAAGGGAAAAGCCATAGAAAATATTCCAACATTCTTTTAGTGAAGAACTTCAACGGACTAGGAAAATCTAATTCATTGTGATAAAATGTTTATTTGAAACTCCAATATAAACTGGACTGAA